ATTTTTACTGCGAATAAAAATGTAATAGCAGTTGGAGCCTATGAGATGCTCTACAGCAAATTGAAAGACATAACTCACCTGCAGATGTAATATCTGCACAAGTTCATCCTTAGAGACTACTGGATCAAATGACATGATTTTGCAGGAAAGTGGCAGCTAACAAATTTTTAAGGCAAAGAGAATTATCATGAGTAGCCTTAGAAGCCTTGGGGTGAGACTGACACAGCTCACAGAAGGAACTACTTCACTCCAACTTATCTCTGTCAGTGTTCAGTACTATATACTGCAATGTAAAGGCTCCTATAAGATATTCATGACATAAGCTTTCTCTGGAGATATTTTTTTTTCCCCCAAAATTGGCAGTTGCTTCTCTAAAACTTGAGGATCTATAGTCCTTGACCTACAGAATTTTAGCTCAGCACTGAGCACATAAACTGGCATTAATGAATCCTATATTCTTTCTGGATATTTCATATCAACAGAAATTTACTAACAGCAGGGGGGTGGGAGGAAGCTTTTCTCATTATTTTGAATTTTCAACCAATCGTCTTTCAGTTCTGTTAGAAAAATATTGGGGAAAAAACACTTAAAAGTCAACAAGGAGAACATAGGAGAAACACACATTCACCATTCTGCCTTCTGGTGGCTCTGCCTCTGAAATTTAACAGTTCCACATTTACTCTTGCAGCCTTCAGAGACAAAGATCTGAACAAGATTTTAATAATGCCTGCCTCTCTCTTATTTTTTTCCAGGTTTTTAGACTGTTCCTCAGAGAAGAAACTTGTCTTTCTAATTTTCCTCTGCTCTTTTCACTAAGTGTTCAGCCTGAGAAGTGCCTCCTCATCTCAGCTTCAGTGTAAAAGTTTGTTGCTCTGGGACAGCCACTTCCTGGATGATGACACACTTCCAGTTTTATGGAAAACACTTTCAACCAAGCCCTTACCACATAATCGGATGCCTTCTCCAAATTCAAAGTTTCCACTTGAAATTGTACCTTCAAAATACAATTATATTCACAACTAGACAGACCTCCCACCTAAATGAGCTGTTTTCCCCCTCTTATAATCTCTCCCAGGTGGTGTTACTGTTTTTCCTACTCTCTGCGCCTCTGCAGGCACACCACAAAATTCTCCTCTACACTGCTTCATTTGTTTGTCATTTACTGTAGGAAGCGTAGCATGATCCTATCAGCCCAGCCTCCACCCAGGTCTCACTAGGGATGACTGCTGGTCTATAGGGCTGTATAGGAATACCCATGCTACAAAAACATAATGTGCATTCCAACACCACCTTCTTCATTAAAACCACTTTACACTCATAAAATATTGTCTGTCTCAGAGCTCCGATGAAGTTTAAAAGTGTCATTGTTTCCCTTCAGACAACCAACACTCATAAAAGAAATCTATTATTCTACATTTAATTTGTGGATTTTATTCCAAGTATCATGTTGGGGTTTGCAACTCCCAAATGACTGTTGCTGTTATTGTATGTATTTGGATGTTACGAGTCTTTGCAGGGACCAAGAATAAAAAAATAACTTATTTTTCATAACGAAAGTGTTCTCAATAGTAAGACCCAGGATCTCATTACCTTCAAATTAAAAATAACTAAAAATAAAACATTTCAAGATGAGTTAGAATTCCTTGGAGCAGATTCTGATCTGTTGATTTTCCATTTGTACAGCAAAAATAGAGCAATCAAGTAATAATACACTCCAGACGGTGCACGTTGGTGTGATTACTACACACCTCAGGTGGTATTATAAAACTTAGAGTCAGTGAACTTGAACCACCCAAGAAGAAGAATTACTCCATCAGCATTGCCTTGGAAGTCAGCACACTGTTGTGGAGAAATCAGAAAACAGAGCTGTGTATGCACTCACTTCTAGGCAGCTTAGGAAACATTACTTTTTTTGTTGTTGAATGGAGTTTCTTTGGTGAAGGAGAGTCATAAAACAAAAATTGCATAAAAATAAAAGATGTTGGTGAGACACAGTGGTTTCAAATTATCTATTTGAATAGTGAAAGAAAAGAAGGAGGTCAAGAAAGAGGAAGGAAAGAAGGAAGGGCGGGAGGGTGTAACGGAGTGAGGGAGGAAAGGAGGGAGAAACGGAGGGAGGGAGGAATGGAGGGAGGAAGGGAGGAGGAAGGAATGGAGGGAGGGAGGAATGGAGGGAGGGAGCGAGGCAGGGAGGGAGGAATGGAGGCAGGGAGGGAGGAATGGAGGGAGGGAGGGAGGAAGGAATGGAGGGAGGGAGGCAGGGAGGGAGGGAGGGAAGGATCACAAAGACCCTGAATGTCTGTGATGGCATTTCTAATGTGAGAGATCCACTTCAATGTACTCCAATTGTGAGCTAATCACAGTCTCCAACTGAACAAGTCCAAGTTTGACTCAGTTCAGAGCAGAATAGGTTTTCAGGAGAGACCTCTCAGAGTGCACCTGAACTCCTGCCTAGTCCTGAGAAGAGAAAAAGGTCTCTATTCTTTTCAAGAATAAATTTTAAGTATCTGTTTAATACCACACCTAAACTTTGTTTTTCTTTTATATTGCACTATTTTCCCAGGAAGTTTTCGTCTTTTCCAGGCAGCCCTATGAAGGACTAGAGTATCCACATTAAAAAACAAAACAAAATATTAGAACCCTGTATACATGTTCAGTATCAATATGAATATCAATTTTGTATGCAGATCCAGCTACAGGCCATATGATTAAACTTTTGACTCACCATGCTGATGAGCACCTAAACTTCTGGAGAAAGAACGGATTGAGAATAAAGGTTTGCTAGAAAAGATCTGTGTTACCTTGTAGTACAGGCCACAAAAAGGCACTCAAGGAAATGTTTTGACTTTCATATTAGATAACTATGGGTTCTGACTTTGAATATGCAACTCAAAGCTCAGGAATCATTCTCAAAGGGTTAACATTTGAGAGATCTAGGCTCCCATTCTAAGTTGTTTTGCTCACTGATTCCCTTACTGTGAATGGGGATGATGGTGTTTCTCACATCTCACACATGTAAATGGGTGTGACATAAATATGTATTTCTTAGCAGAAGCGAGTACACTAGTGCAAGATGGACTTTGCTGAATTAAAATCAACTACCGTGCGCCAAAGCCTATCCTAGCCTGGCCAGGATTGTCAGCATTAGTTGGGCTTCTATTATCTTTGGCACAAATGGCAGTTTCTTCCACTTCTATCTAGGATTACTTTACACATGAGGAGCTAAAAATAGAATTAAGCAAAACAAATCAATGAGACACTAGCATAAAAAAGAAATTTGGATATCTTAATATTTAATTAGATTTGAAACGTAACGTGAAGCTTAACACTGTTCTGCAGTGATAAGGGACAGGTCATCAGTAGGTAGTAGCTGCACTGCTTACATCAATGATTCTAGTTTTCACACTCCTGGAATACAAGTATCAATAGCATAACCTTTTTACTGAGATTCACTCTCAAGCCTTCAGGATTTATTTTTTTTCTATAATACATGTTTCAAATATATACAATAATCATAGAATTATAGAAAAGTTAGGGTTGGAAAGGACCTTAAGATCATCTAGTTCCAACCCCCTGCCATAGGCAAGGACACCTCACACTGAACCATGTCACCCAAGGCTCCGTCCAACCTGGCCTTGAACACCACCGTGGATGGAGCATTAACAACTTCCTCGGACAACCCATTCCAGTGCCTCACCACCCTCACAGTAAAGAACTTCTTCCTTATATCCAATCTAAACTTTCCCTGTTTAAGTCTGAACCCATTACCCCTTGTCCTGTCACTACAGTCCCTAATGAAGAGTCCCTCTCCAGCATCCTTATAGGCCCCCTAAATAATTTTCTAGAGTTACTCATTTATTTCAGCATAAGAGATATTTTCACAACTACAAATAAGTTAATTTTTCAGAGTTCAGTGGAGAAATACCGAAGCTTGCTCTGGAGCCATCTGTGAAAATGGCAGCATCTGGCCCAGTTAGTGCCACTGGGCACAGTTCATGATTAACACGGCCGAATGCCACATCTACACATCTTTTAGATACCTCCAGGGACAGGGACTCAGACACTCCCCTGGACATCCTGTTCCAATGCTTGGCAACCCTTTCAGGGAAGAAATTTTTCCTGATATCCAATCTAGACCTCCCCTGGTACAACTTGAGGCTGTTTTATCTCATCCTACTGTTTGTTACTTGGGAAAACACACTGACACCCACCTCTCTTACAACCTCCTTTCAGAAAATGCACAATAGCCATGTTATAGGCAATCTCAGATGAATGTTTACATCTGTTCTGTAAAATCGTGTTCTTTAGTACCATCCAAATGCATGGACCACAAAAAAACTGATGCAATTGCAGTGATGCTACATCGAGATTGTATTTCCTCCTAGGAGACTTTTATCTGTTACTGATGATCTGTTAAGTTATGCTGAACTAGTGACAATACATTTGAGCTTTGAATAGAAAAAGGTGCTTCCTCTTAACAGATAACAGAGTTAGAGACTAGAGAGTGTGGAGAACCAAGTCTCCAAGTGCTCGCTCCCAGCCCCATCACTGACCTGCTGTGCAATCTTTGCTCTTACTTGGAGAAAATTGAGAAATAGTACAGATTGCATATCTGTAGCTGGTGTGAGTCAGCCTATTTGCAGCAGGATAACCCCCAAATCATCCCATCAGTTATATGGAACAAACTGGAATTTAACTGGAGAAAGTACAACAGAAGACCAAGATCTAGACCCAGTGAAGCCAATAGGAAAAGATTTCAATAGACTATTTCTTGCTAATCTTTATTTATTAGCTGACTTCTCAGATACTTAAGTGAGACTGCATAACATCTTTCATTAAGTGTAAGACATCTGCCATTTCGACTAACAGCTTGCAATTCAGCAAAGTCTGCCTGATTTTTAAGGCAGAAACACTGTCAAATACAAATGTCCAAAGTCCTGTCAAAATAGGTACTGAAAAGCCTGTATAAATGAAGACACCGCTTTTTGAAAAGTCTCAAAATATTTATCAGGGCATAAACCTTCTTAATATAAATGTTTTCAACTCTGCTTTCTATCTTTCAACCATTTCCAGCAGCAAAAATTACTACACTTCATGTCAAATTCAGTACGCTGGCTCCCTGGCTGCAGCAAACTGCGACCCTCTGATGAAACCAAAAGCCGGAAAAGCTTAAACTGTCTGAAATGAGTAACAAAACAAAGAACAGTTGCTAGTTCTCTGGTTTCAGGTGTTTTTTTTTCTGTCAGGCTTGAGGAGGGATTCAGAAAGTACCCTGGGCATCACAAGGGAGCATTATGGGAGTCGAAAGAAGACAGAGGCAGAAGGGATGGTGTTCCCACAGCTACACTGCTGCCTCCACCCCTGAATTGTTTTCTCCCACCTTTTCTCTTCCCCCACCACCACTGCATCTTCTCCAGCCTCCTTGGAGAGCATGTGACTGGTGAAAGCTCATGGGGTGGGATGCTGTGTGGGTATGAGCTAGCAGGAGGGGAGTGGGCACAGAGTACAAGCCAGTTCACCAGCTGACTGAAGTACACTTTTGTACTATCTTAAAATTTCACTTTACTGATACAAACAAATAGCAAACAGTGAGAATTTTCTCTCTCCTTTACTAATTTTAATCACGGATTTGAGTTTTACCTACAGGTGATGATATCATTACGGGGGTTCATTAAAGAACTCATCTTCAGCTTTCTCCAATCCAAATGCTTCTTAAAGATTAGTTCTCAAAATGGATCTGAAAGCTTCTGTCTCTTGAGGATGTCTCAGCAGGTATCTCTTTATTTACCAGGCCTCAGGTCTCTACTGCTCCTGGAAAAGGAGCTTGAAGTTCAGTGATGAGTAGGTCAATATTACATTATTTTATACATCAATTAAGTTTAATCAGCAGGTCTCACTTGATACAAAACCTGCAGCTCTGTCTTTTGGTTGGTACAGGTATAGTGCCTGGAGGCCCTCAGGACAGAAACACTCATTTGAAGTTGTTTTCAGTATTTGAAGTGGCTGTCAATAGATGTTGAAACATTTTTCACAGCTTTTTCCCATGCAAGTGTGAAGGGCATTCAAATAAATCTAGCAAATGGGACATTCAAAACAAATAAAAAGAGAGTTTTTACACAAAATGGTTAAGTCACAAAACTCCTTGACAAAGGATAGTGACTCCTAAAAGTGTATATATATTTAAGAAAACACTGACAAGTACATTGAAAAGAAATACCTGGGGTGGGGGAGAGTATTAAACACACAGAATCATTTCTACCTCAGGAAGTACCTGTGCCACAAACCATTGTCAGCTGAGAGACTTCTCAAAGCAACTGCCATTTTATGATTCATCTAACATGATCTTCTCCCCTGTGCTTTTGCTTTAGGCCATTGTTCAGGACAAAAGAATGACCTAATACAGCCTCTCTTCTGTGATGCTCATTGGCTTGTTTTCCTGTGCAAAGTAAAAAGCGGGCTTTAAAACAACAAAGACTGGAACAGATGCATGTGTCATGGACTGGTTCTTCCCCTTCCTCAAGACTTATCAGTTCAGCAGATCAAGCGAGATACCCTCTGAGCCCAAGCCTTTCAGTTTCTGGGCTTTCCTTCCTTAGAAGGAGCTAAGTGGGAGGTCAAGCCCTGGTTCTGCCTTGGTTGTGTAACTGTCTTTAAATGTTTACCAAGATATGGCTTATCTCTGACTGGTTTTCTCCTGGTTTGCTTTTCTTACAGCCCAGTGTTTAACTAAACAAACAGCCCAACAGTCATCCCAATGATCATGTCAACATAATGTATTCATTAACTATTTTAGCAGCTCCTAATCCATCACTCTGGATATTAGAGCCTGACCTGGACACAGAAGGCATTGTCTTTAAGGACAAGTGTTCTGTTTGGCTTAAACTTCATTCAACTGAGTTAGTTCAAAGTGATGATAAGCACAGCTGGGCTTTTTTAAATGAGGAAGAATATAATCTAAACCACACTTCAAATACATAGATTCAGGTCTTCATTTTTAACCAGGAGTGCAATTAACTACTGAAACAGGCTAACAAAGGAAGTATGGGACTGTCTGTTTCCTGGAAACTTAATGCCAAGATAAATGGGTATGGTTTAGTTATTCAATAAGATCCAAGTGGTGACTAGGAGGAAAGGGATGAGGGAAGTACGAAAACTGAAGCTTTATGTTATACTGCAGGTGACATTAAAATTATCCATTCTGGCCTATAAAAGACGCTCTGATTTCAAAGCCATATTCTAGTGGAGCATTAATCCCTCTAGTGATTCCATATTAAACATAATGGCTCAGATCATTCATGAAGCTTATCAAATATCCCATCAGATTATATAAACTGGTAAAACCAAATCTGAAATAGAGACAGGATATGATTGTCTTCCTCTAGATCCATTTTACTTTTACTTACCTCCTTTGCAGTTCTTTTTACTTACCTCTTCACAGTTCCTGTTCAATAAATGATCTGACAATAGATTCATTATTTACAAAGCAGTGTCTGATCTACCATTTATACATGACTCCAAAGATTTTTCTTTTTCAGCTGCCATAATGATGTTTTAAAATATTTTCTAGTGATGTGACATTTACTTGCTCTACAGTTCTTGATTCAAACACTTCAGCATTATGCATTTTCAAGCAGCAGCTGTAGCCATACTTGATCTCAGAAACAATAATTCTTATTATAAATGCATTTCTTTTTTACAACAAAATCCCTCTTCACTACCTGTCAAGTTTAATAAAACAACTGCAATGCTGGGCATAATTCCTCAAGTAATGGCCGGAGATTTCCAACAGTTTATATTTTCCTTGCTTTGTGGAGTTGTCTGTAATTGCTGTTGTCAAATGCAGTTTTGAAACACAGTGAAAAGCCACATTTTCTTATTTTTACTGTGAGTGATTTTGCAGCTGCAACTCTTCACTACTTTCTCTTATTTTTTTGCATGAGAAGGCAAGTCATGTCCTGACAAGTACAAAAGTATAGAGTGTTAAAAATCACAGGGGGTAAAAACCTTTTTATCTGTAGATTCCACAGGGAAGTACTGTGTCTTTTCTTACCCTCTTTGCTTACCTTTTCCTTCCTATATGTGTTCAGCCTACTGGTAAAAGGTGAATGGAAGACCATACAACTTGGCAGTTCTTTGGCCAGAAGAAGTAATAGATCCCAATAACTATCTTATATCCACCAGAATTTTAGAAGCCAAATCTGCAAGTCTGACCTGTATTTTTTAACCCACTGCAATAAATTAAATCCTCAGCAAAGCTCATGGGCATACGCACTGACATGTTGTGATTTGATTTGTTTGCTCCAAAGGCAGTGTTTCTGACCCATTGGCCTAAATATTCCTCTCCCTCGAAGAGAGCAACTCAACCTTTGTGCCATGGCTAGTTCCCCTGTCAGCACACACAGTGCCAGGCAAGTGGAAACTGGGAAGAGGTGATCCTCAACTAGTGTGTTACCAGAGCTGCCATGCTGCTGATTGTGGGAGTGTCATGGTTTAACCCCAAAAGTCAACTAAGTACATCACAGCCGCTACTCCCTTCCTTCCTCTTTTGCTCCCTCCCTCCCTCCCTCCCTCCCATCTCCAGCTGGATGGGGAAAAGAATAAGAAAAAGGCAGAAACTATAGGTTAAGAACAGTTTATTAATTGAAATAAAGTCAATAATAATAATAACAGTAGTAATAATAATAATAGGAAAAAGGAAGAACAAAAACACAAGAGATGAACAATACTCACCACCTATTGACCAATGCCTAGCCATTCCCCAAGCAGCAATCAGTGGGTCCCAGCCAACCCCCTGGTTTACATACTAAGCATGACATCCTATGGTATGGAATATCCCTTTGGCTAGTTCTGGTGAGGTCTCTTCTACCTCCTGGTTTCTTGTGCCCCTCCTCACTGGAAGAGCATGAAAGACTGAAAAGTCTTTGATCAGGGTAAACACTACTTAGCAACAACTAAAACATCAGCATGTTATCAGCATTATTCCCAGACTAAATGCAAAACACAGCACTGCACCAGCTAATAGGAAGAAAATTAACTCTATTCCAGCTGAAACCAGGACAGGGGAACACTGGGACAGCATCTGCAGAGCTGGGGGAACAGAAAGTCCCTTGTCAGAGAGAAACACAGCTATGGCTGCCTCCTGTAGAGCTCTGTTGTGCTGACAGCAGTACTTCAGGAGTGTCTGTCTCTCAGCATGGGTGGCCTGAGGCTGCAGTCTTGTAGGGGTGTATGTATGATCCACTCAGCAGCATCCAAAGCTGTTTCCATCTGCCGAGGGTCCCATGGGCTCCTACAACTCCCTAAAGTTCTGGTGCACACTAGGGTGCTCATACCAGTGCCAGAGCTGTTTGGAACTGGCTGTGGTTGGCACAGTGTGGTCCATGGCCTCCTTTTGTTCCCATCACCTTCACAGCCTAGCACTGCCCATGCCCCACCACTCATGGCCAGTGAAGTTCTGTGAGATGGCTGAATTGAAGAGCAGAACAAAAATCTCACTTTTCTCAACAGAGGGATCAAGCAAAGAGACACGAGCCAGGGCTGACTCATGAGCCAGCACTCCCAGATCAGCCACAGCTCTTGCTGTGCTTCTGGAGGGAATCTCCATAGGCTGTGCTCCAAGTCCCCTGAGCAGCTCAGGCTCACTCAGTGGTCCCCACAACCTCAGGAGGGATTGCTATGAGGACTTGTTAATGTTTTTTTATACTCTGGAAATGCAGTAATTAATTACATGTTATTGGTATTTATTCTTAAACTAGGACAGAAACTGTTTGTCATGGCTGGTGTACAATACTCTGAAGCTGCCAATGTCACATATGATATCAACTTCTTGGCAAGAAGGAAGCTCTCAAAAGTAGACTCTGAAAATTTTTACTTTAATAATTCACCATAGTTTTCTTCATGGTCAAGAACATCTTTTCTGAATGTTCACATTGTTGGGATAATTAAAACAATATAAAATAAGTGGGATGAATAAATGTGTTTTTCTTACAGAAATCAGCACTGAACAAGGAGTATTCTTTTGTGAGTGGGTTTCTGCATACACGAAGGGTGTTTATAACAGTACAGATGACTTGTGATTCAACCTTAATTTAAGTTTCTAGCTGGATTGTAGTCTGTAGCAATGAGAATTAGAATTTTAATACTAGTCTTGTATTTAATTCCAAAACCGTTTATTTGTTTCATATTTTGCTCCAAGATAAAATCTCAATGACAGTAAATAAACAGTGACATGAAATCACTATTTATTTATCAGCACTAACAGAATTAATTGGAACTGAACTGATTTTCTAAAAGGGTTTTTAAGGGGTTGTGGGTTGGGTTTATTTTGTTTTCTGTTGGGTTGTTTTTTGGTTTGTTTTTTTTGATTTTCTGCAAGCATTTTAACTTTATTACTGTGTTGCTGAAAATGCTGGCTTTGCACTGAATACTGCTCTCATTTGTTGTGTCCTTCTCTCTAATGGACTTTTGGTTAGCAAATACACTTTATAATCTTACCTTTGGGAATATATTTATGGGGTAGGGCATCCTGTGGAAATTTTCTTTTCTCCCTCTGTAAAATACAGCAGTTTAATAGTTTTACTCTACTATTCTGTTATGCTATTTTTATAGACTGATTATTGCACATCAATGCATTATGGGGATATACACCAGGAAGAAAGAAAGCCTGCTTAAGCTGTAAAGACGTTACTGGTACAAGTACAATTGGGTATGACTGAGCTATGAAAGCTGGAAATAAGCTTAGTGTAAAAATTTAAACTATCTGAGAACTGAGATTCTGCTCTAGCTTTGCAATAGATGATGGGGGGTGGGCAAAAGAACAAACTTATTTTAAGACACAAACTGATGGTAAAGCTCGACAAAGAGAAGAGGTGTCTTTTAGGAGGAGGCATGAATTTAGGTGATGAATGAAACGGGGTTTTTCCATGGTAGTAGTTTGCAATAAAAAGTACAACATGCCGTGAAAAGGGCCAGGACTGTTCTGAGTATAAATTAGGTTTTATCTTCAAGCCCTTTGATCTCCACACCCAAATGAGGACTTGGGGATGACCTTGAAACAGACATTTTAAAAGCACTGATTAACAGACTTGTGAAAAGGAGGGGGAAATAGAGGCAGACATGAAAAATATGCTTAAAAACTGGAAAAGCTGCAAAAAGTACTTGATAAAATGGTGCCTTTTTAGTGAAAAAAAACCTGCTGTTAATTGTGTCCTCTCTGCACTTTGTATCAGGCAAGGCTGAAATTTTTATAGCAATGATAAGCAGGGGCAACAGTGCTCTGAAACTGGGGGTCTCTTTATAAATCACCAAATCCAGAACATCAAAAAGACTACCCTTTTTGCAAATTGACTGTGGCACAAAGCTGAGGGGAGGCTTCTCAGATGCCTCTCAAAGCAGGAAAAATTTAGGCAAGTTTTCAGGATGTAGTTTTTGTTCCAGAAAGTGTAATAAGCAAATAATAGGACACTCTCCTACACTTTGTTATAATCAACCATTAAATGGTGAGCATGAATTAGTAATTTCAGTAAGACTAAACAATAACAACTAAGGTTCATGTTTCTTAGGAAAAGAGGAAAGGAAAACAAAGATGGTAATTTAAGGATTATATTTATTTGTATGTATGTTACATTTTTTATGGAAAATAATGTAGGAAAATGTGGAGTTCAAAAGAGTTGACAGTTTCTTAAACAGTCTATGGTAAGTGTATCAACTGTTGCAATGAGGAAGAAGAAAATGTATCAAGATCTCTTTAGGCAGCTTAAAGGCTCTGTAGTATCCTCAAAATAACAAGGAAGCATCCAAATAAGGCCAAATTAGTACCAACAAATAGCTTAAGGATATAGGCTCAATTCAAAGAATAAAATGTCTCTTGCTCTTGTTATGTCAAAGGTTATCAGAAGGTAGTGTTACTGAAATATGAAGCAGAGACTATTCATTGATCTTTCTCTGCTGCATTGCTATTGCTTCTTCTAGGTTTGGAAAAGAGTTTTTAAGAAATCATGCCTCCTCAGACTTCTTATATACACTGTATCAGCCAGACTTCAGAGGCTAAAGAGAAAATAATTTTTCACATATAATAACTCCCTGTTTTGAACACGGCCATCAAGGTTCATATTCAGACAGAGGTACTACAATTTGGAAAACTATCTAGTGTTTTCTTACAGCTACTTGAGCAGACAGCATGGAGTCATTGCCTCTTGAGGAAATTATGCAAATGTCTTAC